GGTAACGCCAACCACCAAAGTCTTTGATACCTTGAAGCACGGGTTAGGATTGAGTAACCCACGGCCGGCTAATGCCGAGACCGGCGCCGCGCACCGTGGTCGCCGAGGGAACTTCCTTTTCCGATTACATTTCGGGACGGCTGCCGGGCTTCCGCCGGGGAGGCTGACTACCAAAGAGCAGGCCGAGACCCTGTTCAATTTTTTCTATAGCCACCACTGAGGCGTGTTCATTGACCACCACTGGCGCTGTGGACATTTGTTTGGTGGACAAGGCAGGTCGGTTCACCATGACCGGGGAGGACGCACACCAGCGACTAACAGCTGGCAGCACGAGGCCCACAGGCCCGCTGATCATCTCCCTCTCAGGGGATCATCGCCGCTCTGGAACTCCACGCCACGCTCCACAAGACCATCATCAGTTGGGAGGCTCTCTATCAGTCCTACGGGGTTGCGCAGCTTGGACTACAGTGCCAGCCGCGTGATGACTGTGACACGGCTTTGGAGTTCTACGAGAGGTGGTCTGTTAGTTGCATACCGCCGCTCTGCGATTCCTGTGCTTTGGTCGCTCATTGTGGAGTGCCCGACCACCCTGTGCAGCTGCTCCTGCGCGGTATGGATTTCGTGAACAGTGGTCCCTCCGGGCGACCAATTAAGTGCGCCCCTCTACCCTGTGCTTGACACCAAGCATCCCATTATTGGGTTGCTGGAGTTTACCAATCCGCCTCGGGTGGCTTGCAGCCGCCCAAGCGGGCCTACAGCGCCCTCCTTTCCCAGCACCACCGGTCCCTGATTTGGGTGTGCAGATGCCAGGCGGCAGCCGCCGACATGTTAGTTGCGGCTGTGCCAGGCGCATTCTATCTTTATCCTATTGCTTCGGACACCGTCAACCTGACGCTGCTGGCGCTCCAGCACTTTGTCTCTACGCTGCTGCGCAACTCGAACCAGCCTGAGGCCCTTCCCGCCGGTTGCTACAACAGGCCTACCGCGTGCCCTCTACGATACCGCCGGATTTGCTAAGCCCGACCCGGAGGATGGCGTTCCGGCTAAAGAGGACCCTGACTTGACCGCCGAGCTTCGTAGCCAAAGTTGTGCTGCCTCTACTCCCAAAGCCCCCAGTGCTACGTGGGAGGAAAGGGTGGCTGCACTGCTGGACGCCGTGGAATACCCGCCTAGCCGATTGTTGCCCGGTGTCGCCGCCATTTCCAGCAACTGCGTTCCGCCTGAAGATGAGGATGACTTCGCGGAGCAGCACGACATCCTCCGCAGCTACCAGGCCAAGGGCAGGCAGCAGTTGCCCGTCGACGGCCCTGCAAGCGCGGCTGCGCTGCTCCAACTGCTCCCCAACCGGACGGACTGCCTTTCCCTTCTTTCGCTGCCCCTCTCCTTGCCGGCGTGCGAAGTTAAGGTCAGCCCTCAGAATTTCGGAGCCAGAGTGGTCGATTTTGCAGATCGTGCGCTAATGCTTCGTCACTGTACGGAAAGTGAGGCTTTCCGAGTGTGCTTCACTCCCTTGCTGGCAGTCTCCATAGCGCTGGCGCAGTTTTGCGACCCTGTGTTGCGGTTACCTGAAGGGCGTGTCTTCGACCTTTCGTGGTACGAGTTGGCTCGCCCGGAGATCTGGTGGTGGTTTTTCTTGGATGAGCTCGATGGTCTTAAGTTCTCGCTCCCCAGTGCCAAGGCAGGTCATAAGTCACCAGTCCGAGATGGTAGTCTTATCCAAATGTCTCTCACCCAAGAGACCTCCCTTGCCCACGGGCAGGTGCCGTGGCACTGGATCAAGCGTCCGGCGAGCAACGGGGGAGGGAGGCTCGAGCATGGACCCGAATCAGGGCACCCCCTTGCTTCATTGTGGTGTGCTGTTGCCGGTGCAGTTGTTGTTCTACCTTGCACGGGCCCTGGTGGATGAGCCTGAAGCCGCCCCCCTGCTACAACTCGTGCGCATCTCTCCAGTCTGTCAGAATGACCTGCATTTCCTTGAGGTACGGGTTAAGGTGGAAGTGCCTGCCTCCCTGGTGGGGCGGCCCCAAATCGCTATTGCCGCACGGCTGATGGAAGGCTTCCATCGTGGGCTTCTCCTAGCTAGGCGAGGTGACTTCGACCCTCAAATGTTCTCATACCCGGGCGTGTGCAAGGGCACTTTTAGACTCTTGCTCCCGCTGGACGATGTCCAATGGGCCTGCAAGCGCCGCCCACGCTTCCCATCCAGTCCGCTGGCCTTTTGCGCACTGCTCTGTGGCGCCTTCGGGCGGCTGCTACCACCTCTCTGGTTGGGATCATAGCGCAGTGGTGGTTTACTGGCTGAGAGGTCCACAGAAAAAGGACTTTTATTTCCCGGTGCGCCTGTGGCGCCACGCCCATTTCGACGCGTGGGACACGAGGGCCAAGGTTCTCATCCACCACTTGGTGGCCCAAGAGACGAACGATAAGACCCTGCCCGATGGACGCCGCGCGTGGTTTCGGCTAGGAGACCCATGGGGCCAGGAACGCTGGAGAGACGAAGCGGAGGCCTTCATTGAACGGGGTGGAATCGGCCCAGGCATTCAAATCCCGTTCATCTCTACTGAGCTGATGCCGCATCTCCATGAGCCGGATCAAGATTCACACCGATATGGTTTTTACCGCCTACAGGAGCTGTATGAGCAGCGCAATTTCCAAATGTTATACCTGTTGCGCGAGTCCCACTTTCCGACTAGCGGCAACGACATGCAGCGCCTGCTGGATTCTTGGCCGGGGCCTTCGACACTGGATCGTACCCAGTGATGGAGTAGGCCGTCGCATTCCAGAAGACTTGAGCCATCTATGACCAGCGACATACGTCGTAGGGTCCATTTCCTGGCTCTTGCCGCTAGTTGTGGATTCCACCGTGGACTTGTGGACTTTGTGTGCACGATCGCGACACAACAGGACCCCGGGGCTGACCGTTGTTCGACGGAACTAGAACGGCGGCCGGAGCTCCGACTTTGGGCTCCACCGGTGGTCTTGGACAGCTCTAGGCCCTAGGCGACGGCCTTTTGCTGTTGTGGATCGGTCGCTGAGGCCCGTAGCTCGTGCTGAACGGCCAACACCGGCAAAGCCTGTGCGCCGCAGCTAGCTCTTTGCCTCTTTTTATCGAGCCGCCCTGTTTCACCGCTGTCTTTGTTCGTTTGTTGGTTTGTCTAGTTTGTAGGGACCGAGTGCTACAGCCGTAGTCGACGAGGCCCGCCCACGCCAAAAAAAGGTACCACTAAAACTCCTTAAAAACGTCCGTGTCCTTTGCAAACTTTGGAACTCCAACTCCAACTTTCGAGATTAGAAAATCAAGTTCAAAGTAACTTTCATCCGTAGATCCAAGCTCACCGTGTTGTGCACCGGCCGAAGCGTCCGACCACACTCCAGAAATTCTGTGGCGGCGCATTTGCACCGGACAAACGCAATCTGGCTGCGCTTGCTAATGTTGACGTGGTCTATAAAAAGCAAAGTGACTGGAGCCATCAGGCCAAAATCGCCACCTTGTCAAGAAAGCCGGACTGCTTGCTAAATCAGGTTTGTTGGTGGTTTTGAGATTCTGGGAGAACGGAACTACGAAGTCGACGAGCGCATCCGGCGCCTTGGACGCGGTCCAGCCTTTCTACGCGTTTCTGAACCAAAGACTGAGGAAGAAAGAGCGCGGTTGGGACAGAACGAGCCACCTAAGCGCACTATCTACCAACAGGACAAACACAAGAGGTTCCTGAATCAGCACATGTACTTCCTTGCGCCGAGTCCCTCCTCCAAGCCGAGAGCCTCAGCCTGCAGCTGGGCAGTGTGGAAGCCTTGCTCACCGGCGCTGTGGGTGACAAGCGCTTGGCTATAGATCTCTGCTCGCCCGCCAAGAACTCTGGAGGCAACCTGGGAATTTGATCGACCATCGTTGGCTCCGTCAACGTTACCTGTTTTGTTTCAGGAATGTTTTCGGAGCTTGTGAATCTCTACACGTAACATGCCCACATGCCTTCGTGTTGCCTGGCTCTACTGTAGCACTTGCAGTTCTCGAAAAGCTATACTGTGGAAGTCGACCGACAAGATGTTGGCTGACGGGCTGACGAAGAAGATCGTGGCTCACGAGCCGATGGCCAGGCTCATGCAAGGAAAGCGGATCGATCTGACCCCGGCACTTGATCAGAAAATACTACCGGTGTGAAAGTAGAGGAGCAATGGCTCGTCAAGTGCCTGTGTCTCTTTTGTGAATTGCGACGACGTTTCTGCACTGTGGCTCAAGCAATGCGAATGCAAACAGTGAGCGTTGCACTACATGACTTAATTGTCAGTTTTCAGACCGTGGACGCCAAATCCACAACTGCAAACCCCGAATGCTTGGCCGTAGCAAATAATCAGGAACAGATAACATGACAGCAGTAATACTTTTGGAAAACAATGAAAGTGGGACATTGTCAAATGCATCTTCGCCGAGTCCTAGCACAGATAGTGAATGCACACAACTTTCTGATTCTACCAGAGCAAGTCAAGCCCATTACCTTGCTTGGCTGTGTGTGTGATCGTCAGACTGCGATAGTGCAGGTGGAAGCGATATTTGGATTGAAAGGTTCCGTTCCACAACGCAGTATTATGAAAGATAACCGCTATAAGCTTTCACATGCCGCGTTGAGACTGGGCAAACACATTCCGCTGCATTTCGGTTCCAGAGTGATTGCGAAGTTCCAGGTGATTTCAGTAAGCCTTGAGCAGATCATGGGCAAAGCAGCTGCCTCAGCACCAGGGAATTGTGTTTTAGTTGCCGGGCAGAGGCATCTCCAGTTTCGGGGTTGGTAGCAGGGTTACCGTTCACCTTGGTGTGTCTGTGCACCGGGTATTTGCACTGATGTGGTCGCGCTAAGCATTCGGAGCTTGTGGGGCGCAGACAACAGCTTCAATAGCTCGTGTCATGTTGACGAGCCCTGTTTTGAGCAGGTCTGCATGCAATCATTCCGCGTCTTGGTGACTTACGTACGATGAATGCAGCACGCCTGGCCCAGGGGGCGACCATGGCCTTGAGATATCTGGCTCTTCTCGTATTTGGCTTGGCATGTGTCGCAGGTGGTTGCATCTGAGTCTTCTGATGCTGCTTCCGCTGAGGTTGTCGCAGCGGCACAGGCATTTTTGCATCTTGTTAAGTCCACATGTGTTTGCGCGAAGCTTCGATTCACTTGCACAGGAGCCGCGGAGACTCAAATTCAGTTTTGGTGACGTGTCATACAGCAGCAATGGTATGCCATGGCCTCGAAGTGTCATTGGCTCATGTCCTTGTGACAGCGGCCTGTGCGATTTCCATAATGAGACTCAGCAATCGCATCTGTCTGTGTGTGCGTGTCCTGAGGAGCAACAGTCCGTTTGGCCAGATAAACAACGTGGTAAATCAGGCTCGGTGTTGTTTTCTGGGAGAGCTGCACGGTTTTTCCTATAGCTTGGAGTGGAGAGGCTCAAGGCCAGATGGTGCAGCCTGGTCAAGTTCAGCAGCAAGGCTCATAGGGGAGTTGGCAAGATTTCCATCTCAATTAAGGCACCTCGAGGTTTGTTGTCTTTTGGTTCTTCTGGTCAAGCGTGTGCATGCTCGCAGGGTCGGGATTTCAGAAGTTGAGTCCGGTCCTGAGCATGCTCCGGCCATGGATCTGATCATTGAGAGCCTTCTCCGTCTCCGTAGCACGCAGAGCACGCAGAGGTGATGACCCTTTCAGCTCGTTCGGATCAACCCCCAAGCAGCAGGAGCCGCCCGGCGGCACTCGTAAAGTGCATTTAGCTTAACTTTGAACTGTTCTGATATACCACCTCTGTCTGTTTTTTCCTGACTTTCGCCTGATGTTGTATTGTCTTATGTTGCTTTGCAGTGGAGCAGCTCTTGAGACTTCTACCCTCGCGCACGCTTGCCGAACTGCTTACCCGACCAACCGACCCACAGATTTGAACCGATGTACGCAGTGTAGGCTGTTGCTTTGTTGGCATCGCTAGCCCGCTCCCGCACTGCATGTGCCACAGGTGTGATCCTGTTCCCCTCTCCTCTTCGACTTCCCCCTCGCTTTTGAAGCCTGCTGTCGAAAGCTGCATGCGTTCCTGCAGTACTACACCTGTCTTTATATCTAGTTTTCTCTGTGACTATCTGTTTGTCAAAGCTTTTTTGTCTTTGACCTTCGTTTGTATGGAATTTCAGCCGCATTCTACAGTCCGTTCGTCTTCATTTCTCTGTTTGTCCTATCTCCGTCTCTCTCTCTCTCTCTCTCTCTCTCTCTCTTTCTCTCTCTTTCTCTCTCTCTCTCTCTCTCTCTCTCTCTCTCTCTGACTCTCCCCTTCTGTTTTTTCAGTGTCGCGTCGATCGCGCGAAGACAGCCAAGGGCGAAGGGCTTCGCTCTCACTCCAACGGTGCTGCTAGCGAAGTTTATAGAACGCATCTGAGCTCAAGTTACCCAATTCTTGCACTGCGTCACTGTCATGGCCTCTGCCAGAACGGAGCAACAGTTCTTCAAGGCGGGCTGCGAACTTCGATGCACGGGCGACGCAAGGACTTTTGCCACATTTCTGACGGATATCTGAATGAGAGGTCTTGTTGAGCCTGCTGTATTGTCAGTATTGTTAGAGAAATAACTTCTACCGCAGCCGTGGCGAGGCATGATTCACTCTTTCCTCGCGAATCAACAGCTCCAGCAAGGTCGCCTTGGCGGTTTCTAAAGATTTCGAGTTGCATCACTGCACTGATTATTTGCATGACGTGTGTGCAGAGATTTCGGCAACTTGCCAGGTGAGCGCCAGTGTCTCATTGATGGCACCGGTGCAATGGGGAGTAAGAGACCTGGCTCAGGCATTTGCCATCCTCGTTTCGGACTCTCTTTAAGATGCATGTCTCGTGAGTATTTGGTATCAACTATGAGACCAATGGATCGCTAGATTTTCTCCATGTCCCCGTGGATCTGTGTTTGGAAGACAATGTTGTCTCCACTCGTCATCAAGATCCGTTTGCGTCGTTCGAAGCTTGCAGCGGTCCACTTGTGCTCTTAACGGATGATGCTGGCATTCACCGTTCACCTGGCTGGCTGATCCCAAGGCCAGGCAGCGGCGGCTTTGACCTCGGCATATTTGCTGTCTTGTTTCTTCAGTATATTTCAGCATTGGCGAAGCGTTCTTCTTGCAGTAAGTCGCCAGGTGGCTCAGAACATTGTCATGATTGGCGAGCAGGTTATGAACGTGCAGAATGTCGGGTGAAGCAGACTCATTTGTTCTAGCCTGCCTAGCAGGTGAGTTTCGTGCAAAAAGCAGTGGAAGATGGTTGAAACGTGCCAGGCAAGCGCCCGGAATTCCTGGAATGCCGGGAACGGCTGGTCAGGCATTGGCTTCTACAATCTTCCACATGCTCGGCAGAAGATCGCCTGTTGAAAAGATCCTGATTCAAGAACCTGAATTAGTCCGCCTCGGCGGACTCTCTGCAGAAGGTCTCCTGTGAAACCAAAAACTTTCGTCCACAGGTTTCGACGCCGAAGGACGTGCTGCTGGCTTTCGTTGATCGGAGTGTTGCGACCGAGATTCGTAGATAAGGCTCATTTACTGGTAGCGTTTGAGGGTAAGCTGTGCTGATGGAAATCTCTGGAGTTGTTTATGCAGGCTTTGGCCTTAGGTCCGCAGGCTTAATCGCGGGATTAGGTCTTGAAGAAGCATGTCCCATTGCGAATGGGTCACAAGTCATGGCTTTCGGAGCGTGGCGTGCACACTCGCAAACGTGACAGAAGGGTATCTGCGTGCACCTCCGTCTAATGTAAACAATAATATAAGTAGCATTGCAGAAGCTTCGGACTTCGAGGGAAGTCTCTAGCGCCCAGCGACACTGGACGAAAGGAAGGTTCTTGCAGCTGCCTTTGCTAATCCTTCGAGTGAGCCTTGCAAGCCTGCGGTTTTCAGTGCAGTGGGAAGAGTAGCATTGCTGGTCGCAGGACAGGCCTGTACCTTTCCTTGCCAGGCAGCGAAGAGCATGATGGACGACACCGCTAACATGTTCGACGACATGTTCGGGGTCCGCGTAGACAATGTCCTTTCAATCTCGTGCTGATGGCCTGTGAAGATCTTTGTGTGAGAAGTGCCAACTGGACAGGGTGGTGGTGGTGGCGACTCCGGGAACCAGGGTGCCCAACCTGCACCGAACCCGCTCAATATGTTCAAAGGCCGGACCCTTTGTCTCCCTTCAGTCCGACAGCAGCTGGGCCATTGCTCACGGCTTTCACAGCTGTAGGCCCAATGTGACTACAAACACCCCCTGAGCAGAGCCTTTGATTTAACGCTATAGCCTTTGTGCAGGCTTCGTGAACCAGGACAAGTGGGGTCAGTTAAAACTGCACATGGTTTCGCAGAGTCATTTCGACGTGTGTGCTGGGGGTGCCCTGCAGCCGGATGAGCTGTCCTGCAGGGCTTTTCGACTCGAGCTGAGGGCTCCCGGGCGGAGGGCTGTCAGAGTAAGCTATTCGAGGCACTGGGTTTGGCAGCAGTTTCTTCGGGTCCTCGAACTCTTCCTTTGCGAGTATTCCCATTGACAAGAGAAAAGCGGATCTCGCTCTGCTCCGCTGCTTCGGTGTCCGAATTCCGTCAGAAAAGTCCTGCATGAACAGTCGGAATCGGTCTCGAACTGACCGGAACGTGTCGGGCAAAGGTTTCGCTGCTTAGGTTCAGCTCCGATTCGTTTGCACGCTGCATTGATCGCAAGCCAGCACCTTATTCGTTGATATTCGTTGCAAGTGTTTCTTTTTGCAGTTATGTTTCAGTGCAGCAAGCACGTGGTGTCTCTCAGCCAGTTCGATAAAGACTTCTACTCCAGAGGCTCGATATCTCCAAGTTTCTTCTTAATAGGCTCTGGAAAGACACGATCGGTGCAGCGTGGGGAATGGTTTGGCTCGGATAGACAGTCGCGGGCTGGGGCACCTCGCTGGTCTACCCACATCAGTCTTCCGCGGATGAAGCGGTCAATGACCTGGTAGCGCAGTCGTTGCGGCGAGCATTCGGGAAGTCATCCTTCGGCTGGAGCGTGTGGGAGTTCGTCTGCGTCCTGTGGAAAGCTTCAGCCAACGGGCCTTTCGAAATCCAGTAACAGTGCTTCCCATAGCACCAGCACCTTTCTTATCATTCAACTTCCATCAAGAAAAGACATTCAACAACTGGTGTGATTCGGTGTGATGGTTCGGCGGACTGGACTTGTGCGCCTCGCTTGGACGTCTCTTCACATAGGCCTCACTTTCAATTCGTGCCGAAGTTCTGCTTGTATTTCCGAATCGAAGCTCTCCCAGCGCCCGTAACTTAATCGAGGAGCATGCGCCCGCACCTGCACCAGCGCCTGCGACAAACATTGGTAGTGCGACCTGGCACAACACTTGTGGTTTAGGGTCTGCGGCGGTGCCGTTTGTGTCAGAGTTAAGGGAAGTTTGCACAGAGACGATCCAAGGATTTTCGTCATTTCAGTCGTCCACACGAGTTTTTTACAGGGAGGTTGTCAACAAGGGACGACTTGCTGCCCTTGTGCAGTCTCAGAGGTGAATGATGCCATGGCCATCTTTGGGATGGCACAGGCAAGGCATTGCTCATCTCTATGCAGCTGGCATGTGGCATGCAGGACTGCGGCTTGTTTGCCAAGTGCTTGCTGCGAGGGGCGACGGCTGCAAATGGGAATGGGAATGGGCATGGGCGGAATGGGCGGAATGGGTTGAGGCCTCGGAAGCTCACGCATTACGGCACTGCTACATCGATTGAGTGAGTTTTGACATGATCAACGATGCCCAGCTGAGGCATGCCGGGCATGCCTGGAGCCGGTGCGAGCCTTCTTTGCAGTGCCATGAGACATGCTTTCTGATGTGCCGCAAGGCAGGCACTAAGGCAGGCAGTTCCACTCTTTGCGTTTGCCTTCAGGTGGCGCCGGAGGAGGGACCATGGACCCGGCCGGGACCCAACGACTGGATTTGGATTTCGGCAATTGCAAGTTGGGCATATGCTCGTGGTGCACCGTAGCTTTGCATGTCATACCAGCTGGCAACTGCTGTGAAGCAGCGCTCAAGTCCAAAGCATTCCATGAGTAACAGTAACAAGAGCCAAGCGTGCAAAGCCGGGCGTAGTCTCAGATGTCAACACGGACGGGAGGAGCCACAATATATCTTGCTCTAGCAAGACGATGCGAACATGAATAAGTGAAGACAGGAGAGTGAAGCGCAAACCAGACTACCCTGCAACAGAAATAAACGCTTCTCCTGCTTGCCGAACACCACAGGGGCAGACAGATATTGCTTGCAGCAAGAACACATGAAGCAGAGGTGTAGAAGGACACTCAAGCAAATCGGCAGATGAAGGCAAGATCAAGCCCAATATGAGTTTTTCTATGCAGGCGTGCACGCAACACTTCGTTTATAAGTCAACACAGAATGAAAACAATCCATGCAAAACCAATGGTCAGTTGAGCAGCAATTAAGCAGACAAGGCACGCTGGCGTCTATGCTGGCAAATGCAGCAAGCGGCAGGTTGACCGGTCAGGAAGCCGGGCAGGAGGCAAGGGGGACAGAAAAGAGGCAAAGCAAACCACAAATCAGGTATCACAATCAATTGTTTGAGTGGGTACATACCCGGGCAACGGAGCAAAACAGAAAGAAGAATCAACACACGTCAGTGCAGCAAGGAACAAGCAAGCAGTACAGTCGTCAATGCTGCAGGCTCACATTCTGGATCTCTCTACAACACAGACAGAGACGGGGGAAGGAAGCTTTAAAAGCACCGTCGTCAGTGCCCTAACTCGCCCAGATGATGATGATGGGGGCCGGCTTCTCAGCTCAGCCCCTTTCACCTGAAGTTGCGGTGTTCCCTGCATCTTTGCTTGACATCGAGCGCTGGTCCGTCCGGAGTGACAGTGTCTGTGTGTGTTGGAGCATGAGATGGCCCCTGATTTCTGGTTAGGGCTGTCCATGGCTTCCCCACTTCCTTTTTTTGGTGGAGGGAAAGTAAGTGCAGCTGGCGCTCTGCCATGCAGGGAGCAGCCATGGCAGCGCAGTTGGCCAAGCAGGCGGCGGAGCTTAGATCACAGGAAAGTGGCTTTTGGGCTGTCGCGCCCGCCGCCTGACCATACTGTGAGGTGAAGGAGCTTGGTGGTCTGAGCCACAAGGTCATGCAGAGATGTCTGAAAGGCCTGCTGTGTTCTCTTCGAATATGACATGCCAATGGACTCTAAGCCAGATAGGTTTCGGATGCGATTTTTTGTTGTGATCTTTTCTTCAGTAGCAGACTATTTGTTTGGACTCAGTGCAGGCGATGCTCAACAGCTCTTGCACACCGCTGCAGCACGCGCACAGATTCTTGGCCCGGTCACACCTGGCTTTGCGCACTCGAAAGCTTTGCTTGAATGGTCTGACACCTCAGGAACCCTGCGTATATGCAAAAGGCTATGGTGGCCAATGGCCCAAAAGCCCTCGGCCACATGGCAGCTTGAGGCTCAGCAAAACGTCCGGGAGCTAGGCGTGGAGATCCTGTGGCATCGGGGACCGAGGATGCAATCACTGCGTACCATGATGGTAAGCCTGATCTGTTCGGGACTGCAACTGGCACCGTGCCTTGGATGAACATGTCTCCATGTTGTTTGTACTGTCTTAAACGCGGCTTCTGCCATCGGTCCGTGGCCTGATCTCCGGACGTGCCTTTGAAGGTGATGCGAGAGTTTCTGCTCAGCGACCCTGACAGCATCACGCCGGAGGCCGGTGTCAGCTCTCGCTTCGCCGACATTAGAGGTGCCTCCGGGATAACGTCAGGCACGAATGCGTAGTTACGGGTTTTCGAAACACAGAATGCTGCTTTCCTGCACGCCGCTTGTATTATAACATGCTTCATTCTTCAATATGTGCCATTCTTGAGGTCCGGAGGAACCAGAGTGCTGTAAATGCAAGGTTCCTCTTCCACCGAAGGAGTCGCTGGCGAATGTCACGGCGGCACCCTGAGCTTTATGCGGGAGAGGGACGCCACTCATGACTGTATCGATGCAAGTTCGGCCGAGTAAGGTGAGCCATTAAACCGACTGCACATTGGTGTTCCCCGTGCATGTACCTAGCCTGGCTCAAAGCTTTAGTTGGTCCTTTTGCCAAATCCCCTGCTTGAAACTCCCTGGCGTCGTGTGGCAATGAAGTTGTGCGATGCAGTGTTCTTCCTGGTTTTGTTGAGCTCTGAGGCTCGGCGCCATGACCAGGGCGCAGGAACTTTGAGTCACTGGGGTGGTGGTATCCTTTGCTGCGTCACCCCCGCCACCGACTACCCCACTAGCGACAGCAGGTTCCACGACGACTCATTCGCAATGCTGAGGAACATCACCAGTATTGGCGCCTACGGTTTAGCAGACCACTTCAACCGCAGCCGCTACGACTATCATTGCCACGATGCCTTGCAGCTCGGGGACTGCCCCAAGATTTCGGACTTCACCTTCCTCGCGGGCCTGCACATGCCCAAGCCACTCATCATACAGCAGATCAATACCTTCCTGAGCAAGTACCACTTCTACTCTGAGGAGACATCCAGTCTGAGTTTCAGAACTCCAAGTTGTCCCAGAACACTTCACTCTCAGCAA